ACAGGGGAGGGGAGGGGAGAAGCTGCAGCCGCCTGAGGCTCTTAACAGAGCGCTCGGGCGGCTGCAGCATTTAAAGGGCCGGCCCAGGAACGCGGCCGGCCCCCTGGTGCCGCGGCCCACCGGGAAATTTCCCGGTATCCCGGTGGGCCAGTCCGGCCCTGCTAGTAGCCCAGGTAGCACCTCTAGTAGCCATTTGAAAAGTGGCCAGTGGAGGTATCCTTAGACTGTAATGTAAACACTGTCTTTTCTCTGTTTACTGCAAAAAGCCTGAAGGTAATGATTCTACTCACCAGAACAAATTCAATAAGCTGTAGTTGTTCTGGTGACTATAGTGTCCCTATGTTTTCAATTTACTTTATTGCTATAAAATATGTTGCAGTTGCGCTAAAAAATTGAGTCACTGCGGCACCGGTTGGCGCTAAGGAAATGTTACAATCAACAAAGATACAAAAGTGGTGTAATATCTTGATTTATGATATAACACATGATTGAAATAAGTCTTGTATATATCTCCTTGTGGTATGTATATATATATATATATATATATATATATATATATATATATATATATATACACGTTTATATTATAATTCTTCTGTGCGTCAGTTACAAACATCAATACGCATCAGACTTACGGTTTCTTCAGGTTTATTCTTACAGTTACTGATACATAATAAAACAACAAAGGATATTACAGGATAATGGATGTTCAACAGCAGATGGTAATTGCTGGACTCCTGAAGGGAGAGTTAGATTATACATGGTCAGAGAACAGACAGACAACCACACGCCTCATGGTCCTTTGTCCACTATTCTATATAGCTATGACCATAATGATGTCTGCCCTATTAAATATAACTCTGGCTATATAAGGACAAGACCCCCAATTATAACATTCCAGAGTTCTCATGGTACAGCATAGCAAAGTACCATCTGTTCTCTTTAACCCATCTATACCTATAGATATCTATACCTACTATGATTATAAATATGAACATAGAATAAGTAATATTCTGCAAGTGGGCAGTAGGTATTAAAAGATTGACTATACCAGTGCTAGATGACTTCCGAATAGCACTGTTTTTTATTTATGAAATACTCCTACACTTAAAAAAAAAAAAAGTGAACCATCTTTTATCAAGCCTTAACAAGCCCCCATACGTCATTAATGAAGGATGAGGGGGAAAGGCTCTGTGTATGGAGGATCCAATTGTCTCGAGTGACCCGGTGCCGATCCTCCACCGCTGACATCACTCCCCCTTGACGCTAATCATGCCCCAATGATGGATCCAGAGGTGGAGTTACACCTCTGGCAGTAGAGGGTTTAAGCTCTTCATAGAAAACGCTACACATACAAACTCCGGGTACCATGACCACTTCAAATTACTGAAGTAGTCATGGTGCTTGGAGTAACCCTTTAATGAGCTGTTTGAACACAGTTAAACACTTGGGCAGTCGCTATTGTCCGAAATTCGGATGGGAATTTCCACTTTTCGTTAATTCGTCAGAAAGACTAATAAATGAATAGCAATTTCAAAGAACAAATGATGACCGAATTTTAATTCGGTCTTCATTCGTTCATTTAGTTTATTACAAGGAGAGAGATACCGGCTCGCGACTCCCTCCTTGTAATACAGGTGATACTCGAAAAATTAGAATATTGTGCAAATGTTTGTTTATTTCAGTAATGCAACGTAAAAGGGGAAACGAATAAATTAGATAGACGCATTACATGCAAAGCAAGATAGTTCAAGCCGTGATTTGTCATAAGTGCGATGATTATGGCTTACAGCTCATGAAAACCCGAAATCCACAATCTCAGTAAATTAGAATATTGTGAAAAGGTGCAATATTCTAGGCTGACAGTGTCCCACTCTAATCGGCTAAGTAAGCCATAACACCTGCAAAGGGTTTCTGAACCTTTAAATGGTTTCTCAGTCTGGTTCAGTGGGAATCACAATCACGGGGAAGACTGCTGACATGACAGTTGTGCATAAAACCATCATTGACCCCCTTCATAAAGAGGGAAAGCCTCAAAAGGTAATTGTGAAGGAAGGTGAATGTTCTCAAAGTGCTGTATCAAAGCACATTAATAGAAAGTTATGTGGAAGGGAAAAGTGTGGAAGAAAAAGGTGCACAAGCAGCAGGGATGACCGCAGCCTGGAGAGGATTGACAGGAAAAGGCCATTCAAAAGTGTTGGGGACTTTCACAAGCAGTGGACTGAGTCTGGAGTCAGTGCATCAAGAGCCACCACACACAGACAGATCCTGGACATGGGCTTCAGATGTCGTATTCCTCTTGTCAAGCAGCTCCTGAACAACAAACAACGTCAGAAGCGTCTTACCTGGGCTAAAGAAAAACAGACCTGGCCTGTTGCTCAGTGGTCCAAAGTCCTCTTTTCTGATGAGAGTAACTTTTGCATTTCATTTGTAAACCAAGGACCCAGAGTCTGGAGGAAGAATGGAGAGGCACACACTGTAAGATGCTTGAAGTACAGTGTGAAGTTTCCACAGTCTGTGTTGATTTGGGGAGCCATGTCATCTGACGGTGTTGGTCCACTGTGCTTCATTAAGTCCAGGGTCAATGCAGCCGTCTACCAGGAGATTTTGGAGCACTTCATGCTTCCTTCCGCAGACGAGCTTTATGGGGATGCTGACTTCATTTTCCAGCAGGAAAATGCCTGCTCACACTGCCAAAAGCACCACAGCCTGGTTCAATGACCGTGGGATTACTTTGCTTGACTGGCCAGCAAACTCGCCTGACCTGAACCCCATAGAGAATCTATAGGGCATTGCTAAGAGAAAGATGAGACATGAGACCGAACAATGCAGAAGAGCTGAAAGCCATAACACCTCAGCAGTGCCACAGGCTGATACCTTCCATGCCACGCCGCAATGAGGCAGAATAGTTACATAGTTACATAGAGTTACATAGCTGAAGAGAGACTTGCGTCCATCAAGTTCAGCCTTCTTCACATATGTTTTTGCTGCTGATCCAAAAGAAGGCAAAAAACCCAGTCTGAAGCGCTTCCAATTTTGCAACAAACTAGGAAAAAATTCCTTCTTGACCCCAAAATAGCAGTCAGATGTCTCCTTGGATCAAGCAGCTATCACCCCACTAATTAGAAATTATATCCCTGTATGTTATGTTTTTGCAAGTATTTATCCAATTGCAGTTTAAACATCTGTATAGACTCTGACAAAATTACCTCTTCAGGCAAAGAATTTCATATCCTTATTGCTCTTGTAAAAAAAACCTTTTCTTTGCCTTAGATGAAATCTCCTTTCTTCAAGCCTACATGTGTGAACTTGTGTCCTATGTATAGCTCTGTTTATGAAAAGATTTCCAGATAATGGTTTGTACTGGCCCCGAATATATTTGTATAATGTTATTATATCCCCTGTCAGGCACCGTTTTTCCAAACTAAAGAGATTTAAATTTTTTAACCTTTCTTCATAACTAAAATGCTCCATTCCTTTTATCAATTTTGTAGCTCGTCTCTGCACTTTTTCTAGTGCCATGATATCTTTCTTTAGAACAGGTGCCAAAAATTGCACAGCATATTCAAGGTGTGGTCTTACCAGCGATTTATAAAGAGGCAAAATTATATTTTCATCTCGAGAATTTATACCCCTATTTATACATGGCAAAACCTTACTGGGCTTAGCAACGGCAGATTGACATTGCATATTGCTGCCTAATTTGTTGTCTATAACAATTCCCAAATCCTTCTCGTGTGTGGTTATCCCTAGTTCACTACCATTTAGGGTGTAAATTGCTTGTGCATTCTTAACTCCAAAGTGCATAACTTTGTATTTCTCTACGTTAAATTTCATCTGCCATTTTAGTGCCCAGCAGGGCCGGACTGGCCCACCAGGATACCGGGAAATTTCCCGGTGGGCCACGGCACCTGGGGCTGGGCTGACAGCCCCATTCAGCACTGATCAGGCTCCTGTGATCCCGGCTGGCCATGTGTGACACATGGCCGGCCGGGATCATTAAAAAAAATATATATTTAAAAAAAATAATAATAATATTGATGTGGGGACAGAGCTTAGTGCACTGTGTGTGTATGTGTGACTGTCTGTGACACTGTGTATGTGTGTGTGTGACTGTCGGTGTAACTGTCTGTGTGTGTGACTGTCTGCCTGTGTGTAACTGTGTGTGTGTGAGGCTGTCTGCCTGTCTCTGTGTGGATATTTACCTCGGTGTCAGTGACTGTCTGCCTCTGTGTGTATGTGCATCTGCTAGTGAGTGAGCAAGCAAGCTTCTGTGTGTGTGTGCGCGCATCTGCTAGTGAGGGAGCCTCTGTGTGTGTGCGCCTGCTAGTGAGTTTGTGTGTGTGCCTGCTAGTGAGTGAGCTTGTATGTGTATCAGTGAGCTTGTTTGTAGGGGTCATATGTGTGTATGTGTTAGTGAGCTTGTCTGTAAGGAGCATGGGTGTGTCGGAGCCTGTCTGTGGTGAGCATGTGTGTACAGTGAGCTTGTCTGTAGTAAGCATGAGTGTGATCGTGAGCTTGTCTGTAGTGAGCATGTGTGTGTCAGTGAACTTGTCTGTAGTGAATCTGTGTGTTAGTGAGCTCTTCTGTAGGGCGCATGTGTGTGTCAATGGGGAGGCAGTAGGTCCGCCCTTTTGTCACTTAGGGCCCCTACCAGCCGCTCATGGGGCGGGAAAGGCCCTGTTGCCACTTAGGACCCCCATCCTCCACTCATGGGTGGGGGCCGCTATGGGAACCCTAGGTCCCCCATTTAGCTGAATAGTATCCACTTGAAGGGCACGGGTGGGGACTATGTTTTTTTTTTTAATACATTTTTATTATTATTTTAATAGATACCCCACCATTGGGGCATGGGGTACCTGTGCTATTATCCTAATGATCCTGATGAAAGTCCACAAAAGCCCACAAGAGGGACTGAAACGTTGATCTTCTCTTAAATATTTCAATAAAAGTTACGTTTTAAGGAAATCCGAGAGTGCAGCCAACTATTTCAATTGTGTGTGTGTGTGTGTGTGTGTGTGTGTGTGTGTGTGTGTATGTATATATATATATATATATATATATATACACACACACACACACACACTGACTTATGGGGCTGGCAGAGATTTTTTTTCCAAGGCTGCTTCGTATCCCCAGTCTGGCCCTGGTGCCCAGTCCCCCTAATCTATCCAAATCCCTCTGCAGCTAGGCAATATCCTGCTCACATTTTGTTACTTTACAAAGTTTTGTGTCACTGATACATGGCTTTCAATGCCCATTTCAAGATCATGTATAAATATGTTAAATAGAAGCGGTCCCAAAACAGAACCCTGAGGAACACCACTTACCACTTTTGTCCAGCTTGAAAATTTACCATTAATGAAAACTCGTTGTACTCTATCATTAAGCCAATTTTCTACCCAAGAACATGAATATTCATGTAGACCAATTTCTTTTAGTTTGAAGACTAACCTATTGTGAGGAACCGTATCAAATACCTTGGCAAAATCCAAGTAGATCACAACCACTTTAACACCCTGATCTATACTTCTACTTACTTCTTTATAGAATGCAATTGGGTTAGTTTGACATGACCTATGTTTCATAAAACCATGCTGATTATTGCTCATAACACAGTTCTTCCCAATGAATTCCTGAATATTATCCCTTAACAGTCGTTTAAAAGCTCACAGGTCTATAATTTCTAGGCAAGGATTTTGAACCCTTTTTAAATATAGGAACAACATCTGCCTTCCTCCAATCCTCTGGTACAATACCTGAAACATAAGAATCTTGAAAAATTAAATACAGAGGTTCACTTATTTCCCCACTTAGCTCCTTAAGTACTCGTGGGTGGATACCGTCAGGCCCCGGAGCTTTAATTGCTGCAAAAGAGGCCCAAACCAAGTACTGAGTCCATATGCATGCTTATACTTTTCAGAGGTCCGATATTGTTCTATGTAAACTCCATGTTTTATTGATTGCATGTAATATTCTAATTTACTGAGATTGTGGATTTGGGTTTTTCATGAGCTGTAAGCCATAATCATCACACTTATGACAAATCACGGCTTGAACTATCTTGCTTTGCATGTAATGCGTCTATCTCATATATTTGTTTCCCCTTTTACGTTGCATTACTGAAATAAATGAACTTTTGCACGATATTAGAATTTTTCGAGTAACACCTGTAAAAGTGGTAGGAAGTTGTGCTCTCTAACGCTTCCTAACCTCCCCATGTCCCCCATCATTCTATGGAGGTCAATAGCATAAGAGAGATTAAAACCTCCCTAATGCCCCTACTCGCTATGCCGTGAGTAGGGGCATGTCTACTAAACAGTGAAAAGCCAGTTGCTGTTCACTGTTGTAACCCCCCCAGATCGAATAAGGTGGGACATAGCACAGGTACCCCATGCCCCAATGGTGGGGTATCTATTAAAATAATAATAAAAATGTATTAAAAAAAAAACATAGTCCCCACCCGTGCCCTTCAAGTGGATACTATTCAGCTAAATGGGGGACCTAGGGTTCCCATAGCGGCCCCCACCCATGAGTGGAGGATGGGGGCCCTAAGTGGCAACAGGGTTGGACCTATTGCCTTTCCCGCCCCATGAGCGGCTGGTAGGGGCCCTAAGTGACAAAAGGGCGGACCTACTGCCTCCCCATGGCTCCCACCCATCAGTGGCAGGTGGCACCCTAAGTATCAAAAGAGGGGAGGAACCTATTGCCTCCACCGGCCCCTACCCAAGACGTCTAATGGTGAGTATGATTTTTTTTGTTTTCATTTTCAGGTATTTACTTTATTGTTCACTCCTCACTATTATTAGGGTTTAGGGGGTAGATAGGGTTTTATTTTATTGGGGTGTGACTATGGGCTTGGGGACCCTAGTCACTTGGGAGGTGTTTATTCTTACATTTAGCCCCTAATGTCAGAAGGTTTACAACTCCTTTGAAGGTGTGACTCCAGAGCCTCTCTGCAAGGTGCGAAATTTTACACATGAGTTGTCTCTGATACTAGGTTAAGATAAACTAACTAGCTTCTACCACATGTCGGCATCTCCCCTTAGATAGTGGGTTCCTTTTTAAAAAAAAAAATTATTCTTTTTTTGTTGTTGTGCGTATAGGAAAGAGTACAGGCAAACTTACTATGCCACAATAAACATGTTTAAAGCATTAAGTGACATATGAGGAACATTTACATTTTTTATAGTAATATAGAAGAGAGATGTGAGGGTCAATTTAAAAGGTAAAAAAAAAAAGGGGGTAAACTATGCTTGGTGCTCCAACAGGTTTATACTGAGCTTAGATTGATGAGTAAACAACAGTAGCTGTATTTTGTGAATATAGAAAACATGTCAGAATGACATGTCTGTCGCCGAGTGGCTGAATACATAAGATACAATAAGCTAATACATAGATCTCTGTGTATAGTGGGTTCTTTCAATATGCTAATGACCATTAGCATTCAAGAGAACTATTGTGTTCCAGTGTCATATTCAAAAGAAACATTAATAATAACCCACAGATGAAAAATCATGCCTCCTTTTGTGCATATTTAAAATCGGGCATATAGAAAGTGCACCCTACAAACAAAAGTATTAATATGGCTAGCACTGCTTAAGCCATTTGGAAGAAATTGTGAATACCATTGTATTAGGTCCCAAGTAAGAAGTGTGACATACCTGTTGAAATGGAAAATTTACAAAGTTCTATGGCAAGCACAAAAAGGGAAATAAAATCAATTTTGGTTGATGTTAGTCTGAAAGACTCATGTTACCTGAAGAGACCAATTTACTAGTGTTTTGAAATTGCAGAGATATTGTGCTAAATTTTATTTGGTGGGTTTTTACTCTGTTACTTTCGGGGACCAAGGCACCATATCTATAAATTGTCTTGGTGGTGGCAGCGTTATAAAATAGTTAGATTTTTATTATTCTAATGATGTGTGGGTGGTGTTAAGGGGGATTTTTATCATTATTTTCAGTCTAGTGCAGACAAGTAGTGGATTTTAACCAGGGCTCGAGTCCTGCAGGAACGCGTGGGAACGGCGTTCCTGCACTTTTTTCACAGCAGGAACGCCGTTCCCCCTGCAGGCACTCAGGGGGCGGCAAAAAATGCCGCCCCCAAATGCCCCCCCTTGTTTCCCCTGTCATGGGGGGGGGGGGCAACCTGATGGATTGCCCCCCCCGGTGAACGGCTCTCTCCCTGTCACACGCGGAGAGGGAGCTGTGTGCTCTCTGCTCCCTCTCGCCGCGCGGGATGTCTGCTGATGCTGGGAGCCGGGTTGATGACGTCATATTCCGGCTCCCAGCATCAGCAGACATCCCGCGCGGCGAGAGGGAGCAGAGAGCACACAGCTCCCTCTCCGCGTGTGACAGGGAGAGAGCCGTCCTCACTGCAGCCCCACTGGACCCCAGGGAAAGGTAGGGATGCTGGGTGGGTGGGAAATGTTAATTTTTTTATATTATTATTAATTTGTATATATGTATGTCTGTGTGTGGATATGGATGTCTGTGTATGTGTGGATGTCTGTTTGTGGATGTGTGGATGTCTGTTTGTGGCTATGTGGATGTCTGTTTGTGGATGTGTGGATGTCTGTTTGTGGATGTGTGGATGTCTGTTTGTGGATATGTGGATGTCTGTTTGTGGATGTCTGTTTGTGGATGTGTGGATGTCTGTTTGTGGATGTCTGTGTATGTGTGGATGTCTGTGTATGTGTGGATGTCTGTTTGTGGATGTCTGTGGATGTCTGTTTGTGGATGTCTGTGTGTGGATGTCTGTTTGTGGATGTGTGGATGTGGATGTCTGTTTGTGGATGTGTGGATGTCTGTTTGTGGATGTGTGGATGTCTGTTTGTGGATGTGTGGATGATGTCTGTTTGTGGATATGTGGATGTCTGTTTGTGGATGTGTGGATGTCTGTTTGTGGATGTGTGGATGTCTGTTTGTGGATATGTGGATGTCTGTTTGTGGATGTCTGTATGTCTGTTTGTGGATGTGTGGATGTGGATGTCTGTTTGTGGATGTGTGGATGTCTGTTTGTGGATGTCTGTGTATGTGTGGATGTCTGTTTGTGGATGTGTGGATGTCTGTTTGTGGATGTGTGGATGTCTGTTTGTGGATGTGTGGATGTCTGTGTATGTGGATGTCTGTTTGTGGATGTGTGGATGTCTGTGTATGTGTGTATGATGTCTGTGTATGTGTGGATGTCTGTTTGTGGATGTGTGGATGTCTGTGGATGTGTGGATGTCTGTGTATGTGTGGATGTCTGTGTATGTGTGGATGTCTGTTTGTGGATGTGTGGATGTCTGTTTGTGGATGTGTGGATGTCTGTTTGTGGATGTCTGTGGATGTGTGGATGTCTGTTTGTGGATGTGTGGATGTCTGTTTGTGGATGTGTGGATGTCTGTGGATGTGTGGATGTCTGTTTGTGGATGTGTGGATGTGGATGTCTGTGGATGTGTGGACGTCTGTTTGTGGACGTCTGGATGTCTGGATGTGTGGATGTCTGTCTGTGGATGTCTGTTTGTCTCAGTGTGTGTAGGAGTGTATTTATGTCTGTTAGCGTTTGTACGTGTGTATGTGAGTGTATGTGCTTCTGTTAGTGTATGCATGTGTATGTTTGCAATTGCATGTATGTGCATACGTTATTGTAAGTTTCTGTCAAATAAGTGAGAGTCTGTCATTTAGTGTGTGTGTCTCTCTGTCAATGAATGAGTGTGTGTCAGTGAATGTGTGTGTCAAATCAGTGAAGTCTGTGTGTTTGTCATTGAATGTGTGTGTTACTGTCAGTGTGTATCTGCCAGTGTGGGTGTCTGTCAGAGAGTGTGCTTAAAGGGACACTATAGGCACCCAGACTACTTCAGCTCCTTGAAGTGGTCTGGGTGCAGTGTCCCAGTCCCCTTAAACCTTCTCAGAAACTGCAATAATTACCTGAGGGGTAACTCCAAGTCTAGTGGCTGTCTATCAGACAGCCACTAGAGGGACTTTCGGGTGGTTAGGTGACCAAAAGTCACCTAACTGATGCTGGACGTCCTCACCCTGTGCATGAGGACATCCAGCATCTGCTAAATACCCATAGGATTTTAACCCCTCCAGTGTCGAGTGGGGGAGGGGAGGACATGAGAGGAGGGGGGCACTATACGGAATTATAGTGCCAGGAAAACAACTTTGTTTTCCTGGCACTATAGTATTTCTTTAAAAGGAGCAGGAAAAGGTGGAGTCTAAAGAGGAAGGGGTGGGTTCTTAATCAAGAAGCGGTGCGCCCTTGACATGAAGGAGTGGTAAATTTAGATTAGGGGGGTGCTCTATAGTCATGTCTAGGGCAGCATAAAATTAAAATACACCACTGTGTGAGTGTATGTGTGTGTGCACGCGTGTGTATGTGTGTGTATATATATATATATATATATATATATATATATATATATATATATACATACATACATATATATACATACAAGTGTTTTGGGGGTTTTTTTGGGAGAGTTCCCACACTTTTTTCCCCAGGACTTGACCCCTGATTTTAACCCTTTCACCACCAGAACCAAGTTGCGCGCACACTAGGAGACAAACCTTATGTTCGTTAATAGGAAATAGAGAATCCATCGTAGCTACTTTACCAACAGCAAGATTGCACATAAGTTATCAATTTGCCAATTTGCAGGTTTATTAGCAGTCAGTAAAAGTAGTAATAGGATTACAAGTAAAGGGAACTGTTAGCGACTGGATCTTCCTGTCGCACACACATAAAAATGCATTATAGACAGATACAGAGGGGTGTGGCTTGGAGGCCGAGGAAGATGGCGGCGTAAACCCGGAGCTCCCCAGCAAGCTCAGCTAAGATCCTCATCCCAGCACTACCACCTGAGCGACCATGGGCAAAACTCACCGGGCATCGCACTCTGCCAAGTCCGCCGACACGCCGAAAAGCGCCGCTCCCTCCTCCATGCGGCAATACCTGCTGTCCCACGCCGACACGTCATCTCAGGCCTCCAACGACTCAGAGGTGTCTGGCGCCTCCCGCCCAGCATCACCACGTGGCGACCGCCAGACACCACCAACCCAGACACCCCTGGATTCCCAACCTGACTGGGTGCAACTTATCCGGGCACTCCCGACGAAACAAGACCTCAAGGAGGCCAACTCTGAATTGCGGACCTCCATTACAGCGGAGCTGCACTCCCTCAGGGAAGACATTCAAGGCCTTCACACCAAGGTAGCTCAGCTGGAAGCGGACTGCGACCACCTGACATCCACGCAGTCTGCCACTACGACCACCATGCAGAGCCACACTGCACTGATGCAGCAAATGGCCTTACACTTGGAGGACTTAGACAATCGTGGCCGACGCCAGAATATTCGGGTGAGAGGCATCCCAGAGGACACTGACCAATCAACACCAATCCTGGACACTCTCAAGGAACTGTTTAATAAAATAATGGGCCGCCCAGCACCCACCAAGATTGATTTTATCAGGGCCCACCGGGCGCTAAGACCGAGAGGCCCGCCGGAGGCCCCCCCTAGAGACGCGGTCTGCTGCCTGGCAGACTTCCAACTTAAGGAGGACATACTGCGCAAAGCACGCGGATCGTACTAAACGGCGTGGAGGTACAGCTTTACCCCGACCTCTCCCCGGCTACCTTGGCCTATCGGAGGGCGATGAGGCCCCTTACTAGAGCTCTCCAAGCACAAAAGATTCGATACCGATGGAATTTCCCGACTGGGCTACAGGCCATCACTGCCGAGGGCACTTTCACGGTCCGTCACCCTGAGGACCTAACTGACTTAATTGTGGAGCTGAAACTCCCTCCCATCCACATGACATGGCCGGACCCCACTGCTTTTTACATGATGAACTCAGACACGCGAGGACCCCCATCCTTGCCCCGCAGAAGCAGGGGATCCCGCCAGCAAGCCACCAGGCTCTCGGGGACTGCAGCATAGGTGACCTGGAGACGACCGCAGCGCATATCCGCAAGTAGCACCCCTTGGGACACTCTCTTCATCCGGGACTCTAACCCTTTACTATCCCTCAGAGGCCTACATTGGCCGACATGTGGTAACTGACAAATGAGGGGGGGAGGCGGGGGGCTGGGGGAATGTCGGGGCACCCATCTACTATTGCACTGATTTCCTGCGTGAAGTCCAGGCCATCCTCCAATGACCGGGATGAGGGCCCAGCGAGTCCCCATGGGGAGGGGAGGCACATTCGGGCAGACAAGGCTCGGGTGGGGGATGGCACAGGGGAGAGATGCTTCTAGACGACTGCAGGGTGTCGGACAGGAATGCTCTGAGAAACCGATGGGGGCGGCCTATCCTAACCATACGGGGGGGGGCCCACCCAGACTGGGCCACGCCGCTGGGGCCCTGATAGACCTGTGATGACCCGAGCGAGCAGGCGGGGGGCCCCACCGGCGGGGCCCACTCACTCACTTACCCACAGCCCGAGAACGCACATAACCCGCGGGGAGGGAGAGGGGACACGCTAGGAGACCGGGCAAAACGAACCTGACCACCACCCCTGAGGTCCACAAGCACTGATCAACTCAGCCCCCATACCATGTACCCCGCCTACTGACTCAATTAGATACCAACGCGACGAGGAGCAACTGAGGAGACTTAGAGACGAGGGGGTTGCCCCAAGGGGGGCCGGGGTCCCGACCAGAGGTGGCGACGCGCTCACCTGGGAGGGGAACAGGGAGTGGGGAGCAGTCGCCCGTACACTCTGAAAGGGGTGCCTGTAACGCGGAATACGCTGTTGATATCTGTATAGGTTTACATGTTATTGCTATTGTTTTCATGCACAGTTACGATGCCTTACACCTGCCCACTCCCACGGCGGACACTCACGGCCAGCCCATGGCCACCTGACCTGGAACCACACTGATGAGGATCATATCACCAACACGATCTCCACGACCTAGAGCTGACCAGGGAACTCACAGGGACCCGACGAGCAGGGACCGAGACACTACTCTCAGGTATTTGCCGACCACACAGATCCGGGGAGGGCTGGACCCACCTGGAATCCTCTTACCTCCTCCTACGACCCGGTAGGACACAGCGACCCTTAAAAGGTGAGGGGAACCCGCGGACCGTAGGAGACCGCGGACTTCCCACTCCCCGTCGCTAACTCCTCCTTGTCGCCCACAGGGGACAAGACCCCACACACATACACTTCCCATCGTTTTTCTTACCCACCAACCCTACTCAGACGGACCCACCTGACGTACCACCCCCAAAACACCTAGACCAGACTGGGACGCACAGACTTACAGGCACACTCACCACCCCACCGAGACGCAAATGGCTCTCACACCAGACGACCTCACCATCCTTTCTATCAATGCCAGAGGCCTCAACAAACCAGAGAGATGCTCTGGGGCGCTGAGAGACTTCCACGCCAACAGAGCATCCATCGTACTGATACAAGAGACGCACTTTAGGGAAGGCTGCAGACCGAAACTGACTAACCACCACTTCCCGACGGGGTACTATAGTGATTACCACGCAGGGAAGTCCAGGGGCACAGCCATCCTGATCAACAAACGAATTCCCTTTGAAGAGCGGGGTCAGATGACGGACAGGGAGGGCAGATACTTATTCATAAGGGGCATAATAGCGGGTCAGGCATATACCATCGCGAATATATATGCCCCGAATCACAGGCAGCATAGATTCCTTACGACTACACTTAAAAAGCTGCAGTCTTTCACAGAGGGGATTCTCATGGTGGGGGGTGACCTGAATGTCGCACTGCACCCACGCTGGGACACATCCTCCGGCACCTCCCGCATACCGACACAACACCTCAACCAAATCAACGCACTTCTGACCCGCCATAAATTGGTAGATTGCTGGAGGGCCCACCACCCCGATGAGAAAGATTACACCTTCTTCTCACACCCACACAACGCATACACCAGACTGGACTATGTCTTTACTACGCACTATCACCTGCCCCTAACACGTAATGCGGAACACGGAACAGCGACTTGGTCAGACCATGCCCCCGTAACCCTGACACTCGCATCCCCCTCTACAGACTGAGAATCACTAAGTGGAGGCTTAACGACTACCTCCTCACCAGACCAGACCTAACAACGGACATAGGGGAAAAACTCAAGGAATACTTTGAGACGAACACGACTGAACACACATCGCCGACCATTAGATGGGAGGCGCATAAAAGCGTAGTCCGCGGACACTTCATCAGACAGAGCGCCACCCTCAAAAGGCAGGCAGACTGCCGAATGAAGGAGCTAGTGGCAGAAATACAAAGCCTAGACTCCCTCAACAAAACTGCACAACACCAGGCACATCAGTCGACATTGCTACAATTACGACGTGAACTGACCAGCCTCCTCCACAGAAAGCACCACAGAGATGTGGTCAGACATAAAGCCTTCTTCCTACTCCATGGCAACAAGAGTGGGAGGCTACTGGCCAGAATGCTCGCCAAAAAAAGACAGACGACATATATTGACAAAATGAGGGACACTAGTGGCACCC